ATTATCTTTATGATAAAACAGAGACTGAAGTAAAAGTCTACGGAGCTCCAGATTGTTGCAGAGTTCATTACCGTATTTCCCGGACTACAAAGCGCACCTAAATATTAGCCGCACAAGCTAAAATCAGGGGAAAATCCTGTTTTGTACATACATTAGCCGCACCTGACCAAAAGCCGCAGGTGTTTCAATGTTGACTTATCATATGTAAGAGAATATGCACAAAGGGAATTGTCAGGAAAGAGATGGCTGTTTGGAGACATCACTTTTATTAATATTTTGAAAAACAAGTTATGGGTACATATTTGCACATGTAGTACATAACAGTAGCCTACAGCACACCAGAAAAATAGATTCGGACTACCTTTTAGGCTCAGGTGCAGTGACACAGCTTTAACAAGAAGAAAAGTCAGTCATTCACCATCTTCCTCTTCTTCCTGCGCACTAAAACCACCAAAGTCCTCTTCTCCAGTGTCGGATACAAACAGGCTCAGGATGGCTTCGTCATCCACTCTCCGCTTCTCTCCTTCGTTGTCACTTTCAAAACCAAAGAAATCCTCATTGTCAGTGTCAGAGTCGAACACCCTCAGAAGGGCCGTGGCGGTGTCCTCCTCTCCATCATGCAGCAGTCCAGCCCTTCAAAATCCGTTGGTGATCGTGGATGTTTTCACACTTTTCCACGCTGTCAGAATCCACCGGTGGAGTTGGGCATAACTTGCTTTTTGGGCATAACTTGCAAGTTTATCGCCGCTCATCATCCACGACTCCCGCTGAACGCGTAGCGCTACTTTGAAGTTTGTTTTTCGCGCTACTTCGTACGGCACTACGTTGCCTGGCGGACGGACATGTGACTAACATACCACTCTTGAACCCCGATCCTTCCGCCAGGCAACGTAGTGCCGTACAACAGCGGAACACACAAAACAAATCGTCTTACGATATGACAAAAATCACGGACAATCCATAGAAAAGCCGCACCTGACTAAAGGCCGCAGGGTTCAAAGCTTGTGCAAAAAGTAGCAGCTTATAGCCCGACATTTACGGTAATCTTTATACTAAAATGTTGAGATGAAGAACCAACAGTCTTTCAGGAGACTTATTGTGATCATTTGCAACTTTGTATATTTCATTCTTAGACTGTATTTGCCTTCTTCAGTGGTTCACAGGTCAAGTTAAACATAATTTTGTAGCTTTACATCAAATTTCTTCTGACTGGCTGCTCCTTGCAAACTGAAGGTTTGAACAGCAGGTTCCTAGATCTAAGTGTGAACCTGTGTTCCTGAGAGGACCATATTAGGATATCCTCTCTCTGTGACATCATATAGAACGTAGATTTAAAGAAAACTGTCTTACACAAGGCTAAAATTAACACAGGCTCAGCAAAACCGGACACCAGGAGACTGGAAAAATAGTGCCTGGTCTGACTTTGGCATAAATAAAGGGGAAAAATAGTAAATATGCATTGAATATCCTACATTTACACACTGTAAAGCTTAGGTTACCCAGTAGTTCATGCTGGCAAAGCTGGCTGTCAGTACTTTAGTGTTTAAAAGTAACACTTCTTACAGTGTGCAGCTGTACTGCAGATTTAGGTCACTTTCAGAAAACCAAACCCACATGCTCTTAATCTCTACACACACCTGACTCATCACTATCTCCCATCATGCACCTGAGGCCACTGGCATAAGTGGGAAATACAGACCTGTATCTTAGCACCCATCTTGGCTGAGTCGCTTTTGCCAGAGTCTGAGTCGCACACATGGAAACGTTAAAGCAGTAACTGAAACAAGTAACTGAAAGAAAGAGCTGAGTAACAAGTAACTGAATACCGGTCAATTAAAAGGAGTTAAACTGGGAGAAACACGTAATTTTTACAGGTACAACCTGTTGGTCTGTATCTCCAGCAGATGCGAACATTTCTGCAAAAACATCACAAATAACTTGCAAAATCTGGCAAATCTAGAAGGAACAGCTGCATATGTATGGGACTGGACTCTCTGTGCTTTTGAATACTGATGAAAGGAGAGTCCCTCAAGATCCAACACAGACCAGGAGAAACAGAGTGTGACAGAGAGAGACGGACAGCAGGAGAATAAAAGGAGGCATCTCCGTCTGATGGCTGCTCTCGTGTGAACTCACAACTGAGAGGAAAAGCCTCAATTGCCCAAAGGAGTTGTGTAACAGTGATGGTAGCGCAGGATGGACCGAGGTAATCTGAGGCTCGGTGTGTGCATGTGAGAAAGAGAAGAAATAATGTAGAAATGTTTTTTGGAAGCTATGAGTATAAGAATTAGAGCTCGTAGGGGCAGGTTGTGTGTATGTACGTGTGTGTGCATGTTTTGTGTGTGTCCTGACTATGCAGAAATGATGACCCCGGTATTTCTGTGGCCCAGAAGTGCCAAAAGGCATCTTTTATTAACTAGAGTTTGGCTGAGCTTGACCCATTTGAGATTAGGTTGTGTGTGTCTCTGTTTCACCGTGTTTATTTTCTTGTGTGTTTGCGTACATGTGCGTGTGGACATGAGCCAGCCGTGCATGTCCGCACACGTGCACGTACGAGTGGGGCTAAATCTTGTTGCCGTTTTACATCTCCAAACAGTGCGCGTCATCAAAAACTGTAATTAAAAGTCGATTTTTTTCCCCCTCAGATTTTGTTTACCCCTCCACTATCTCCTCCATGCTGACTTCTCATCTTGTAAATATGCCTGTTTATAATCTATAGCCTGCAGCCCAGATAGGTAAAAACTCATTTCATTAACCAGGAAGAAGGAGGACAACATCAGAGGACACACACACACAAACTAATTTTACATTTTCTATTTATCTTCTGTCACTTTGCCTGCTAAAGACAAGCAGCGTATTTTGGGGACAATGAAGGAGACGAGTGGGGAGGAAGTGAAGCGTAAGCTGGTGTTTATGAGAAAAGATCTCATGAAAATTCACCGTTATCTCCATGGATTTTTCTCTGAAACCGGGAGCCACAAACTCATTAAAAGTTTTTTTTTTCAAACACTAATGATAAAAAACTTTTGTCCAGTAACTTGTAGGAGGGGAAGGGTCTAGTTAGGAATGTGTTTTTCTCTACTTTAAATTCCTATTTTAACTCACTTTATTCTGCAGATTTAGGTTATGGCCACCATTATTTTTTTATTTTGATGTGTTTTTTACACATTGGTGTGTCTCTAAAAACTCAGCTTGTTTTCATTCCTATCAGATTTTGCTGTTTTGTCAAAGCCAATTACACCTCACAGTGCTTTGGCCTCAGTGCAGTGATGCATCAGGAATGACAATAGTGGATTCACACAGAATTCCTCAAATACACCTGCTTGTAAGGACCATTCACTATTACAGTTTATACTGAACTTTGTTCACTGAGCAATTTTTAAAAACCATTTTATGACCAAGCATTATGTTTCAATGTGGAGAGTTAACATTGTGAAAGGCACGCATTATAACCTAAACTACAGCCGTTTCCTCCATCTGTGCAGCAAAAGATTATTAGTTCCATTTGTCACAGTTTCTTTTGATAAATGGGGATGAAAATGTATGCAAAAATATATTATATGCATGATAACCGTCAGTTCAGTGAAAACAAGCTACCATATAAAAGCCTTTTTATTGCATTTGTGGTTTATTTTGAGACAGCTGATTGGCTAACTAGAGCAGCTGCTATAATTCACATTATCGAATTAATCCTACAGATTTTTCAGTTTCAGTCTGTCAGTAGGTTTGATTATTTGATGCCGGGGAGTTAATCAGCAACAAAAATCAGTTGTGATGCACTTACTGGTATTTTTATTTGTCTATAGGTTTGATGAATTTAATGCCAACATTTAGAGAACTGGAAATAAGGGAAAGTTGATTATAAGTGTCTTTTTATTCATACTAAAGGTCTCTTTGAACATCAGAGGTTTTCAGCACACTCAATAGATGTTATTAGCTGCAGTCAGTCCCTTGCTATCACTGCAGCCTCAAACTAACAGGGTCTGTAGGTTTTTCCTTTGTAACCAGTGATAACACAGATCTGTGCGAACTTGAAAACTAACCGTGCACTACTCAGTGAGTGGGTGTCCTCACACACACAATTAGGATAATATTAACTGAGCTGACAACAACAAGATTGTCCCATTTTCACCTAATGTAACTTTTGTGATTTGATCAGACTGATGAAATCTAATTATTGGATCCTTAAGTGGATGTCATGTGAGTGAAACCTCCACCATGGCTCCATCCACTTTATGCTTTACACTTTAACTGCCTGCTGTCCCTAGTAGAGAGTCGATAGAGGATACTGCTTACAGGTGATGTGTATAAAAATGATAACAACTGATGTAAGAATTTCAATAGGGTGTTTAGATCTGAAATAAGTGTTCTGGGAAAAAAAGGACAAAACCTGCTTTATGTCCAACTGTTCCCGTGGATATTGAAGATAAATTATCTAGAAGCCTGCAGAGTGAAATACAGTACAAGTACTTCATCGAGGAGTTTTCGGTGGCTACCCAAAAACTCAGTATGGGAAAATGAGATTTCATTTACTCAGAATAATGGACATTTTTGTTCAGCTAAATAATTGTAATTAACGTTAAAAAGCACAGATTTCTGCCCAGTAATGCAACACAGACCTATCGCCCTGACTGTATGTACTCACGAGTGTAGTCGCCCTGCTAAAGTCTTAAGCTAAGCCAGGAAAAACCCTGAAGTAGAAAGTGAAACCAACTCTAAGAGCATCTATTTTACAAAGATGACTGGCATTTCTGATGAATAATGCAGATTACTGGAGCTTCAGACACGCAGGAATTGGTATGTCTCTATGTGTGATCATGCAAAGCTAAGCAGGCAGAGCAAGGGACTCTCCCTGCCAAGGTTGGTAGTTCTACTCCCATGGGTGCCACTCGGAGTGAAAAAACAGCGTGTTTGATGAAAGCTTTGCGCAAATGGCATATAAATGAGCATTAAACCATCCGTACTCTCTCTCACACACATTTACACACAGTCTGACTTACTGACGCACTCTCCAGAGATGGCATTAAGGAAATGCCCCTCTTGGCAGTTTGCCCTGCAGTGGCCACTCTGCAGGGACACCAGCGGGGGGCAGGCGATGCAGTCGGCCTGGGAGGGACCGGAGCAGGTCTGGCAGGAGGGATGGCACGCTGAGAGAGAGGGGGACAAAGACAGGTGATGACATACTACATATGCGCATGGAAACTCACAACACCACAGTTCAACTGGACTGCTTGGACATGTTAGTGCTGTTGGAACACTAAAAACAATGAAGTCTTTGGTTTGGAGTCTTCCTGCATACTGCATAGTGTTCATTTCTTATGTTACGATGCCATGCAGAGCAGGGACATAACTACTTTGTGACTGACAGGTCGCTGCCAGGCTCAGCTCAGCAGGCAATATCCTCCGTTTTTCTCTCAGTCAGACCGGCCACGAGGTACAGGGTGTGTATCCTTGATATACAGTTTGTAGGTTGTTCATTAGCCACTCTTTAATTTTGCCTCATGCATGGTGCAGGGTGGATGGTGTACAGCAGGTTTGTCAGAGCTTAATTTCTTGTTGGCTTTTAACAAACAGCTGGCTTCAGGAGATGGAGACAGAGCTGATGGAATAAAGCACTGCAGAGTTGATGCTAATGCTTTCTGGCTTTGTCGTTATGAGCCACAACTTTCACATTACACGTCATTTGGTGCATTTAAGCAACACACAGCGTTCTTATTGCCTCACATTAAAAGTCACCAACGCCACTTGTAGCAAACGTTTATTCTCATCTACACTGAAACACAATCCTTCTTCTGGGTACTTTCTAATGAGCCAGTCAGTACTGAAGGAGATAAGGCCAAGTCAGCAAGCAGAGCCCATTTATTGTGTAATCCAAGACGATGTGAGTGCATCGCTCTTCTTAACTGTCTTGGTATCCATCTTCATCGGTCAATTACTGAAGCCAGGTTTAAATATGTGATCCACTGAGGTCTTCAAAAAGTTTTTTTCTTGTTGTTTTTTTTCAAGATAAACAATAAAATTTAGCACATTTAAAAAAAGACCAAAGAATAAAGCTGGTAAATGGAAGATAGGAAGGGTCATCTTGTTTCAAATGAGGTCAGAGTCAATACACCGAGCTGAGGTAATGAGTTGGAGATTAGAGCAAATGGATTTTCATTAAGTAGGCGAGTCACAGAGGGGCGGGGGATAGATGGGGAGAAGAGCCCAGCTAAGGTTAACATGTGTTCACTAAGGGCCACACTGAGGAATGAGAGTCATTTAATGGGTCAGATATATAAAGTTTGGACAAACATAGTAATAAATTCTGATTACCGCTCTGCAAGACAGCTACATGCATCCAAATCACAGTTACCTGTAGCACTCGCATACATTTCACAGCTAGGATATTTATAGGATACTTACGGGATATTTACCAAAACCAAATAAATCTGTGTATGTAAGATAAAAATGATGAATTTTTTATTTTATTCTTTCACGTCTGTAAGTCTTGCCAGTTCGGCTTTACAGGCAAAACCATCACAACTTATTAGCTGTATAAATCTTTGATCCTGTGCTTCGGTGGTGCTGTGGCTTAGTTGGTTAAAGCACCTGTCTAGTAAACTGGAGATCTTGGGTTTGAATCCTAGCAGTGCCTTTGGGGCAGGGATAGCTGAGTAGGTGGAATTGTCACCCCATGATCGGAAGGTCGGGGGTTCGAATCCACTGAACGGGTACCCCTGAGCAAGGTACCGTCCCTGTACACTGCTCCCCGGTGTGCCTGCTTAGTGGCTGCCCACTGCTTCACTGAGTGAATGGGTCAAATGCAAAGAGAGTAATTTTTTTTGGGTCATACTGAATAAAACACTAGTTATTAGCCTTGTGTTGATGTGGTCCTGAGAACCAGCACCCATCTCTTTTCTCAGTCTCGGGTTTTAAACACCGGCAAATAAAGGAAATCATGAAACAGGTGAGTGAATCAAGAATAAAGGCCTAGAACAAAGACGGATTTGCCACACGTTTGCCATCGTTTCACTTCCTTTTTTAAGGAGCAGTTAACCTCGAGACCATTTTTGCAAAGAAAATACTTTTTTTGTGTGTTTTACTGTTAAGGTTAGAATTTAGGCTAAGCAACACTATGACACTGAGTGTGACTCAAGAGTACAAAAGCAGATATGTGTGTGTGTACGTGCTCTCACCTTGGCATTGGTTGTCCTGAATAAGGAAGCCTTGTGGGCATGTGGGGACACAGCGGCCCTCGTACAGGCTGGACGGGGAGGGACAGGACGTACAGTTGTCTGCAGATGGCCCAGCACACTGCCAGCAGGAGGGATGACACTCTGAAGAGGACACGAAGAGCAGCGACATGGTCACCATGAAAAAAAGAAGTATAAAGGAGAAAGAGAGGAGGAGGCTCAATCCCCAGCTGTGCCTTCTTCACTAGCACAGCCACAACAGAAAAATGAAAAGATGAGTGGATGGCACTTTTGTTCTAGAAATGGGTTTTGGGAGTTGAATTAAAAGGAGATGGACCAACTTTTGAGATTTTGCTATTGTCACAATAACTAAATCTCAAGAAAAACTTTATCACAAGCTGGAGCCAAACAGTATCCAAGGAACGACTGGAGTTCCTTATGTAAACTTCTGGGACTAACTTTATAAATTGCCCAGCTTACAGTTTTCAACCGATCCTCTCTGCTAACGTCGCAAAGCAGTTTTTGCTAAATTCGTACAGTAGCTACGTTACAGTGAAGCGTTACCTCAGCTTGCTTGATGAATATAGTTGGTATCTGCTGTTGTATGCTTCTTAACCTTCAAGTCAAGTCAAGTTTAGAACCCCCCAACTTAGTTTATACAAGCTGTTCTAGCAGGCATATTATTACAGTTTTAAACTACATACCCTATGTACCGAACTGCAACATCACAGTACTGTACAGGATATGTAGGCAAAAGAGTCCTGAAGGCAGATCACTAAGTTCTGCTGATAATTTTAAAACTAAAAGAAAAGAAAATACATGAACCAGAAAACTTTACAAGTGTCTTCAAATGACACAGGTAGTAATTTGAAGTACTAAACCAGGTTGAGGGAAGTGCATTTGTTTGTACACAGTTTATATACAGCCACTTATTTATGAGTCATGCATTAATGCAACTTAAAACTGAGTCCTGTTTCTTAACTGCTCATCCTTCTCAGGGTCACGTAGAACTGAAGCATGCTGACAAAGAGGCAAGAGTCAGGGTACACTAAGACAGAGACTCCTATTCCTGTAAAGTTATACAGTAAAAAAGAAACACAGCCCATTTGACTGTGTCTGAACTGAATTCAATTTCCACCTCTGTTCCTGCTATTTTACTGCCACTTTACTGTACCTTGGTCCTTCCCTGCTGGCATGCAGTAATCTGATTCTCAGGAGCTTTTAGTCAGCTCCATCAGCCAGAAGTAATGTAACACTCAGATAAGGCCAGCAGCCAGATTCCCCAATCAGAAGTTACGCATTATCACCAGAGTCAGTGCCAGCCCAGAGAGCCTCCTCCAAGGCGGACACACGCCAACCAAGATGCAAATCTATAACATGCTCCACTGTTTAATTTGGACTGCTGAGATCAAAACAAACAGAAGATTTTAAACTGCATAAATTATAGGTGAACTTTTTAAAGCCGTCACGGTATCTCGGCTTCTAAACGAAGGACTAATTAATGAGAACTACAACTAAGAAACTGCTGATGAACAGAAAAGGATCAGCAGATGATCCTGCACAGAAAAGACATCTGTGAGAGCTGCTCATAGGTTACATTTTAAATTATTATTGTTCATTGCAGTTTGTCACTGATGGCTGGTTACTGGTGCAAATTCCAGGTTTGTGTTGCTTAGCAACCCTCTAATTATTTACTATCCTGTCATCTGTCAATTAACCGTATCCTATAGTCTGATGAATGGTCACTTCCATTGCTTGCCTTACATTTAAGCCCCGTTTAACTGAGGATTTCACACTGTCTTTTTCACAGAGACAGCTGTAATTTCACCTGCAGTCACTGAATTGCTAGCCTCTGGTCGCCAAATCACTGCTAGTGGCTTCCTGTGTAGACACAACTTTAGTTAAGCTGTGATAGGCCCAGGCTACTGGGTGATCGCCATGATGATGATGCCATGATTATTTCTTCTCCACTTCCCTCTTTTCACTCTTCTCCGGTCATGGAACATAGATGCCCCTCTCCTGAGCCCGGTTCTGCAGGTTTCTGTTCTTTCCCATCATTATCAAGTGCTGCCCACAAGGAACTGTCATGGTTATTGGGTTTCTCTCTTCAATATTGTTGCACCCTGAGGTGACTGCTGCAATCAACTGGTGTATTTTATATTAAATTAAACTGGGTAGAATTTAATGACTTTATGGACTTAAATAACACTAAGAACAAATAGTTGGAAGACTTGTTGGATCCACTTTGCTTATTTGTTTTATTTATAGATCTTTTTTTACTGCATACAGTAGGGCAGAGCTTAAAAAAGTACATTTTAAAGGCCTAAAAGTTACAGCAAAATAAATGACACTAAACTCAGCAAAGGGAAATTTTGGAACTGATCAAAAGTTAAGGGAAAACTAGATACTTTTTACGAATAAAGACAAATAAGACAATCCATGATAAACTTTCTTCTAAAAAAACTCAAAAAACTACCACTAATACTACTTCTAATAAGACATTTTTGGGCCTCTGCTGGTGAGCAGCCTCATTTGATTTGACCAAAAGTGCTGCCTAATGCAACTTTACATTGTTAAATGTAGCTCCATATGCAGATTACCCTGCTTTTCTATATATATGCACTTCCTAGTTTATTTAGCCTTCACTTACATGCCCCCACACTGATCACCCAACACAGCAGCTGCCCTGAAACAGGCATTTTGTGCAGCCTTTGATGTCTGCTTTGGCACCATGAAGACAAATAGCTGAGCAATGCTATCAGCTCTGGCAGCTGAGAGGGGTTCATGCTGCTGGCGGGGGTTCGAATGAAAGACAAAAGGCCTGTCATCAACTGGCTAGCAGCACCAGGTGTGTGCGTGCGTGCCTGTGTGTGTGTGTGCACTACCGGTCTTGTTTTTTTAGTATATTTACACTGGACTATGTGTGTTTATAATTACTTCTCTTTGGATTCTTTCAGAGGGCTGTCAGCTGCATCCGGGTCTTGTGTACACACTGCATGACAGCACTGGCAGGTAGCTCTACCTGAGCCAACACTACTGTGAGTCTGTGTGTGTGTGTGTACACGCGCAAAAACATTTACCCTGTGGGACCATCTCAGTGTCAGAGCAAGGACTTTTAAAGTCACACGGTTGTCAGCCGAAATTGTCAGTCTGACATCCCATCATCGCCCACCGTCTCCCTGCCGCCCACCCGTAATCCCTCTTGTTCTTCCTCGTCAACTATGGCAGCTTAATTGGTAGAAGAGATGAGACGACATCCAATATGTTTATGATCGAGTTTACCACCCACAAATGCGCTTATTCATCCAACAACATGCAAAAACACATGACAAATAAATAAATAAATCAAAATCAGCTCATCTTGCCAATCACAAGCTACCCAGAAATCTTCACATCAACGGTCCAAAAACAAACGCAGACTCAGAGGCAGATTAAGCAGGCCTGCTGTCAAACTTATGTCATTAATACGGGGAGTGAATAAGAGTGATAGGACGCCTCTCGCTCTTTTATTGCAGCTTGGATATCTAATTTGTTCCAGGAAGGAGAGCGCATATTGATTCCTGTAGTAGCCGAATTCATGTGCGCAGGCGTTCTCATCACACATTATCTGGTGCACGAGCTCAGAGAATCACATTCATTACTTTGTTTTGTGCTGATAGGGTCATAATTCGAGGTGGGCGCAGTCGATGAGATTGTGATTTAGTTTGGGGGTGTGAGCGCTCCTTAATGCTTTCCATAAATGATTCTCCTGGTACAGTACAGAGCTTATCATTTCATAAGTGCGGCAGCATGTGCCGCAGAAACACAGGTGGATGGTTATATCTCATTCCTCGGAAGTGTCTAAGGTGTCACTCATATTGATTCCGCTGCGTTATGGGATGCTCGGAATCAGCCCATTTCTATGAGGAGCAATTTGGAGGAAATGGCAACAACAACTGCTGCAAGAGCCGAGTTACAAATACATCAGGGAAAAAATTATAGGAAACTGTGCTCCTGAACAGGTTTCATTGATATGAATGACATGTAAGCTGTTTAATCCGCCCAATTAAAGTGCAGAAAATGTTTATTTGTTAAGCTGGTTATGTCAAACATCAGGTTTCCATCAATCAAATTTTCCCCCTCGCAGTTTTCATTCTGGTCATGTGCTGCAGTGTTGCAGTGGAGGATAGCTGTGATCATTGGGGCCAATAATCACCCTATAAGAAAAAATTCAGAAGCCTATCTGTGCGTTTATGTCTTTGCACACCTAAATGACTCTGGTAGAATGCCTAACACTTTCAGTTAGGTTCCCAAAGAGAGCTGGGAACCATGGGGAGTATGTATTAGGACTGGAATAATGTGCTTTTACACTAGTTGGCGTCAGATGTTGCCTGTGTCTTTTGGCTCTGGTGCCTTGATGCACCAGCGGAAACGTGTCTTTATTGGTTATGGTTGAACATGTTTCGACAGCAAAGCCTACACAGAGCTACAGCTACGTCGTGGTCTGGAGTAATGAGGTGACAAACACCTTTAATCTTAATGATGGAAAGTAGCCCCGAGCTGAATATCATATGTCATAAAAACACATCTCAGAATTTCAGCCCAGCCTTGTAGCGCAGTCCAAATAGAAAACATTAGCATACATATGACCATCTGCCAATTTTTTCAGCTGCATATCTTGCAGCTTAATGGTATTTCAATCAATAACTGCGACAGTTAAAGTCAAACACGGTCAAAGTTATTCCAGCACATGTTAGGCGCGCGCTAACTCTCCTCGTGTGTCACGGTGTGCTGCGCCTCAACCTGCACACCGAGCAGCGTTAAGCCTCCTACACACAAACTGTCTCTGTCTGCACTGAATGGAGAACGTGGGGATTTACAACCTGGAATTTACTCTCAGACGTCTGATGGCTCACAGGCCCCAGCCTCCTTTAAGGACAGTAGGTACGGGGGAGGTCTGGTTATCTGTCAGAGCGCCACACTCACACACACTCACACACACACAGAAACTTGTACAACAGCATGTATTGTTCCCAGCCGTACGACTGAACCCACTGACACTCCACTGAGGGAAACCTTTGTTAGTGAGAATGGAGGCAGAGAGGAGCGACTCCTTTACATATTACTGTGAATAGAGCTTAAATGACGTGCCATTTATTGAATTG